TGTCCTGAGCCCCCGACACAGGTTTCGGCGAACTGTCTATTCAATGTAAATGCACGCTGTCAGCTTAATAGCTGTCGATATTGTGAATGGCAAATTTTCCACGTAGCACATGTGCTACGTATGTTATTAACCTTGAAGTTTCCAAAAGGCAACAGTACCTTTAAAGTACCGGAAAGTTGTCCATAATTAGAGTGATGAAGATCGCGTCGCACCTCTCGGCATACTGATCAGAGCCGCGTCCATTTCTGCTCGGTCTCATTTGAATAGTCGGCGACCGACCACATTGTGCTGCGTGCCTTATTTTTATAATTCGTTACCTAAATAGGAAGGAGTATGTACATTCACTGAGTTAAGTGCAAATGTCATCGTACAAGTTGCCCCTAAACCAAGTTCACGATAAGGTAGAAACTCAGATGCTTTTCTTAAGGGCGAAGACGTTTTGTGCTTTATAGGTACGGGATATTTTTGCATGTTCGGTAACCGCCCACAACTAGATGCACTGGTTTTGGTTAGACGGGTAGTTGGATGATTAGGTAGATTAATTGATTTGATAGATGAATTTTATGCAGTTGTTACTGGTTAGTATACAAGGTGCTCCACGTTTGTTCTCGACTGTTGTCACTGATAATATTATAAAATGCGCTCCTTGATTACGGACAGATGGACTGTAACATGGTGTGTTGTAGTGGTGATGGTGATGGTAATAATGATTATGATGATGATGATAATTTGTCGGTATAATGACAACCAGTAAATTACCTGAATACCATAGCACACCCAGTTCCCGAAACGTCATTCTTTGTAAATTTGAATAACTTATATGTTGGACAATGGACAACGAGTAGTTGTCCTGTTTCGTTGCTTATTTCCAAAATTTCGTCCGTTACTCTTTTTTTTTTCACTTTTCCAAATTCGGATTCAGTCCACTGCAGTAGCATAGGATTCACGCGGGGTTTCTGAAGACAGACGTAGCCTGATTGTAGCCTGCCGTCCGCCGGTGTCGTGGTTCAAGGGACGGACGCTGGCTTCTGGCCGCGAGAGATCGATCTCTATCCCGGGGCAGTCCATGTTTGATTTCTAATAGCGAAGTGACACTAGGGTAGGTTATAATTTAACGATGCTGGATATTCACTATGTCATTTCGGTCTTTGGTGAGGGCTTCACTCCCTACCTAGGTACTTGGTTCGACTCAGAGTAATGAAAATTTTGTACTTTCAGACGTCTTTCATAAGAATGTCTGCATATAATCGCCGTTCTGGAAGAATCTATTTTAATTACATTTGGAATTTAAAGTTATTATTAATTTAACTTCGCCCATGAAGTTGTTTTGCTCTAAATCGGATAATATAGGCTGACGTATTAGTACTTTAAAGATCAAATAGGTTAGATCTATTTGAGTAGGTCTGCATGTTGAAAACACGAACAAAATATTTACAGAAATAATTTATTACCGGATGTATCGTTAATTCTATAGACTGCACGTTTTCATCGTAAGTGATATTGATTTCGAATTTTTTGTCAAATATTAGTGTGCGTGATAATGATAACGCCTACGAAGCGCCCCTGTGTGCAGAGAAAGTGGCTGTGCAAAGTAAATTTTTGTACATTTTATGTAAGAATAACATATTTCCGTATCTGGGCACTCCCCTTAGGTCCAAAAACCTGTATTGGTTCAATACTAGAAATTTCGTGATATGTTTATGAACGTATTTCTTTGACTTCAAAATAAAAGTTACTATTTGCAATGTTTGATGAAGTACTTGTCATCAGTTACATATTTCGTGAAGTGTTCGGGCGAAAGCATCGTTTTTTATGCAATATTAAATAAAAAGCCGTGTGTTCGGAATAACTAATTCTATCTTGCAAAGTTAATGAATGTGTGTAGCTTAAGTATACAAAATATGAAAGTGGTTGCCCTGATTGTATAAATTTTCTCCGGATTTGGAAATCGTTCTGTTGGGTTGTGTTAGCGGTGCAATGATTGAGTGACCCCACACAGCAAGAGAACTTGTATCCAGCCGAAGCAGCGTTTCTCATCTCTGTTTGTCGCGCTGCTTATAAAAGGAGGCCGCCCCAATCCGTCATTTAGAGAAATAAAATGTAGTATCCGCTTAACTTCACCTGTTCATTTGTATGGGCGTGAAAGATAATCTTTTTGATTCTCAGGTAGATGAAACTTGTATCTTGTGTTATGTGGGTGTGAAACGTGGTTCCTTTATTTTCTGTGGGGTTAAATTCAAGTCTCTGTATTGTTTAAATGGACGTAAACAATTGTTTTTACTCTAAGATATGAAAATGTTTGAAAAAGAAGTTCTGTTGAAAATATTCGGTTCTAAGAAAGTTGAAGTGAAAGGGAACATGATAAATGACATAACACGGAGTTTCAAAATGATCACGACATTTAGCAGACATGAGGTCAGTTGAGAAATGTACTTACAGATGGAGGGGGGGGGGGGTAGTATTAAACTGTGTATTGGATAATTAGGTTGTGATGGGGCATCTTCTTTCACATTCGGGTAAAAAGAGGGAGAAATATTATGTTGAAGACACTATATTTTAAGAGTTAAAAAACGGACTTTTTTTAAAAATATAGAACAGAAAGCAGCAATATAAGACTGTCGCCAAAGACATTCAGAGAAGAACTTTACGTGTAGTCAGTCACTTGGTCTGTCAGTCTGTTAGTTATAAGCGATCGGCGAGCTCATAGCTGTTACGTTAATTGATGACGTTATAGCAAACCAAAGCACAAAAGTGTACACAGTTAGCAGACTTGTTATTAACGTTGCCGTACAAATTTCATATATCAAACTGTAATTATCACCACAAAACAGTTAAAGATCTTAGATTAAGCGCTGCAGCGACATGTTGGCATTGTTTATGGATGGTCATGCTGTTTACGAAAGCCCTTCACTTTGTGTTATTAATGGCGTGTCTGTTGATATACGTTATGGACTCAATATAATGGACGTGACACAGGTAGTCTATAAAATCCGGTGTGAGGTTTTACATTCTCAAGACGGTAAAAACGTCGATGTTTTTCTGTTGGGTTGTAACCCCGAATGATCTGTGGATAGGTACCAACGTTTCGGAGGCACTGTGTTTTTTGTTGGTAACGGCATTGCAACCCAGAAGACCAGTAACGAAATATGTCTTGGTCCTTGCAGTTGTGGTTTCAGGGTCCAGAAAAAACCAATCTTCCCGGGCTTTGACCTCTGGTATTCATGAACATCTGTTGACCTTTGAACACGCGCGCTAATTTTGCATTTTGTTATGAGATAGGCGACTGTTATGCCACCAGCACGACATACACTTTTCTTACCGCGAACCAATATAACGATTTTGCCGCCTTAATCAAACATCTCCCCCAACAGGTAGACAGGGGTTGTTTCTGCGCGTGCGTGACATTTGTTTGTTACACCTTGCATTCGCTTCAGTTCGGACACATACCACAGTGACAAAAGCTTTCATCTCAAGGCTTACTTTAAAGCAGGTAAGTTACACCCCCTTTCTGTAATTGCTGTATGTAACTTCGGTTGTAAGTTTTATTGAACTGAAAGAGAATTTATGTTAAATTGCTTTCGTGTTTTGCGGATTGTGAGTATTCATTAAAACAGCTTCAGGGTTGCTCTGTTCAACTGTTGTTCAAGTGCTTTGCCTCCAGTTACCGAATACAGCGTGATGGCGACTTGTTCGTTACAGAACCCTTGTATTTGTCCAATCGTGACACTGAAACAAGAAGAATTAGATTCTATAGGAATGAAAGAAGTGGATGTTGGAATATCTTCCCTGAGGAATTAAACAGAAGGTATGTTGTTTCTCTAATTCTGTGTCTTATCATTTTATTAAGGGGTGTAAGATGTTGGATGATTTAACCCCTCCTGGCTGTCGTGACAGTGGTTATCGTCGTACCTCTCAGTCCTCCCAAGTTAGTGCCGGTGCAGTGCCCTGAAACAGTCCAAGCCATTTCCTCTGCAGAACGTCCCACTGCAACATTGGTTAACACTCAGGTTTCGCGTTCAGCAGATCCCGGCTCTGAGTTTCGTTTATGACAGTGCTTCTTCGTCACAAGATCCAGATCGTCTCTGTGCCTCGTCGAGCCTTACGGTGGGGCAAAGTGGCCGCATCCTGAGGCTAACCTGCCGCATTCCTTAAGACTGCCTGATGAGATCAAATCGCGATGCAGTGTGTACGAAATGGCCAAGTAGCCTGCAGTAGGAAGGAATGTTTCACCGCGAGAACTGATATGTGGAATTTCGTATCGATATCGGGAATGTTTATTTTGATATCGAATAAATTTGTCGGTTTAAGGTATTTTAAATAGCAACAAATTTAAGTTGTCGAAATGCTTTTGTCTCGTCTTTATTTGTTTTAGGAATTCCTATATTTAAATGTGACGTACAATGGCAAGTTGTTGGCAGCTAGTAATTAGAACCTTTTAAATGATAGAGTTCAGTCTTAAACATTGTTTTTAATTTTTATTTGCTTGACGCAAAATTAATAAAAATTAATAAATTAGTCAGTGAATCCTTATTGGCGTAGGATTAACTTTATCAGATTTGTATCGTATCGATATAAGACATATTGATATCGACTAGATTCCTAGTTACTCTTCGTAATGCCATCCTATATTATTTCGATAATCTACAAAACTACGTCTTAGTGGAACGTACTGTCCAAAGCTGTAATGAGAAGGCGACCATGCATTATAACGGCTGTTATTGAACGACTTTCAAATGCCTTCACGAACTAACTTCGAAATGAAACAAGAATTTCATATCTGTAAGATTAGTTGAAGTATTTGTGTTTTGTTCTAGACACGAAGCTGAGGACTTATGTAGCGTGCTATTACACAAAGTAAATAGAAACGAACCTGTTTACAAACTATGTGGACGGACGAGGTCAATATAGTGGACCACATGTAAATCATAATCGGGTCACCATGTCTGTGATAGGGCACACATGGATTTTTAACTTGTCTTAACAGATAAGTTTGGGTCATGTTTGTGTGTCACTAGACCATCCTGTCATGCAACTCAGTGGCAATTTTAAACAAGAAGATTCAAATATAAACTCCCTATTGTGGGTTTGGGGCTGGACCACAGAAGATGTTTAGAATTGTATTGTGAATGTGGGGTCTGAACTTTGTACTTAAGGAATAAATGAAAGCACAGAGAACGAAAGGTAGAAACCGACAGAAAGATAAATGAAAGAGAATAGAAAATAAAGAACAACTACTTAAAACATTTAATGGGAAGGGCTGCTGCGTGTTCGCTAAACATATTGTATTAACACGTGACTACAGCTTCGTTTACAGACGGTTGTACGGAATATCAGAACAAAGTCTGGAAATTACAGGCTTAATTAGCCAGAAATGTGCCAGCGAGTTTATTAATTTTTGTTGAAGGAACGTAACCCAAATGAAATGACGGACAAATTCACCACGAGGAAAAAAAGCGGTTTGATCTTGGAGTAGATAAATATTTATTGTGTAATGTGCGATAAGGAACGTTGAGACATTCTGAATTACACCCATCTGTGGTTCCATAATCATTGTGATAGGAGAGTTTGCTTGGAGGAAATAAACTTCATACAGTGTGCTTTTGAGAACCCAGAACAACGTCGTCCTCTGCATTACCGCGATAACTCTCTTTTTCTGCTGTGTTGATCAGCAATAAATCATTGCTGCTAATAATTGCGAGGTGTTCTTTTTAGTCATTTGCCCTGCATTTTAGACAGAATCTTGTCAGAGGGAGTCTGTGAATGGAAAAATTTTAAGAAGTGACGTGTATAGTGAAATAAGTTAATCAACAGTTGAATGCCGTTGGGTGCTATCGTAACCATATTTCATGCGGAAATCTAACTGTAAACCAAGTAATTTTTCGCTCTTTGAACTCCTCATGCGATTATCAGTTTTAGTTTCTTTATAAAACTCCTGTCTTGGCTCGACGCCATTATGAATGTTTATGCAAAAGAATAAACTGAAAACTTCGACCACTGACTGGCCTACGTCATGTAGATTTTTTTTTCAGTCCAGTTCTCTCACAGAGACCGTTGTTTGCTTTTGTCTTGTGTACTACATTAGACTGCCGACGAAAATTGAAAATTAGTTTAGAAAATGTGATAGGAATTTTTAGAAATAAATAAATAAATAAAACGTACGTAACATTTACGTATTAACATAGATCAATTGTTGATAAAACATGAAATTTACGACAATAGAATGTTATTACTATCCTTTAGAATTCTCTTTTTAATAGTTGGTGTGTACTGTATTAAGTTTTATATAAAATGCGTTCTGTTATTAGTAAATCTTTTAAAACTTGGGTAGTGTTTGTCTAAATAAATTTACGTATTGGTTACATTTGTGTTTTTCATTTATTTTTTCAGATTATCTGGGAGTTTAGTTTATCCGCAAAAATATATTTTTCAAACCAATCCAGATAATCGGGGATCTGCTGTATAAACATTTGTATGCTCATCTATTCATATGGTGTAACGATTATTAGGTTATTTAACGACGCTGATTTACTGCAAAGGTTATTTAGCTACCGACCCGCCTGTGAGTTTTTTTACAAGAAAAAGGCGAGATATTACGTCACGGTAGAAACAGTTTCTGGTTTAATTTTATCTGGATTTTACAGACGTATTTTAAAGCAGCGTATGTGTTGGAGTCAAGATGTCGCTTAGGAAAATGCATATTTATGATTTAGTCATTATTTATATGCAACGTGCCCCGTGAAACTTTTGTGTGATATGTGTGTTGCGTGCAAGTATACATAAACGAGCTTTGAGTCTGTTAACTTTTGATATTTGCCCTTCTTTCATGAATTTATCTCACATGTTCCTTGAACTTATTACAATTTTAAAGAACGAAAGCTGGAATTCATAATGGAACCGACAAGCCTAACTGCGTGTTGCTACATCGAAACTATTGAACTGATTAAATTTGGCATTAGGAGCCGGGGGGGAGGGGATGTCATGAAGTAATTTAAGAATCTGCACCAACGTGGTTTAAGCTCCAGTAGAAGTCCTTCCACATCAGGTCGTATGGCTTGCCCTCTGAAGCACGAAGGTCATCTGAATAACATTTACAAGATCAGTCCGTGCTGCGAAGAAAACGCGACACCTCTCCATTACAAAAGCAAATGGTCAATGCTGTTTCTGGAAACAATCGATTTTTATTCTCAGAATAATGTAAATCATACAAATACATTCTGTGGGCAAAATACAGAGTCATCGAATATTAAAGCAGGTGGTGCAAATAGTGACAATGCGCTTTAAAGTGCATGTTTATTCTGTCGTCAGCATTGTCTTCTTTATGAAACGGGGTTTTTAAAACGTAATGTGAGGGTTGGTACGAATGCCGGAGAGTCGTATGAATCCTGACAATGGAAAATCGATATCAAAATGCATGACTAGCATGTCAGTCACACTGTGCGTTAATATCGGAAACAACTTCCATTTAAAGATGCAAACTTCACTGTTGCCCGGATACGGACATGGCAGCGGATGTCCGCGTGGTGGTACTGCCTGTGCACGAAATGTGACGTCACGAGTAAGGTCTCGAGCGTGACATGGTGTCACTTAAGATGGCGGCAACAACAACAACAATAATTGCAATCATAATGTCGGAGTACTTTGAAGTATTCCTGTGGACTCGGGAGGCATCGGATTCAAATATCTGTCGGGGAAGCCAGTTGTCCTGATGCTTACCTTGGTTTTCCTCAGTCCCTCCAGACATTCATTCAAATATACCACAAACCTTTACAAAAATTGAGAAAGACGCATTTCATAACATGTGAGAAACTTACGCGTCTCTTAATTTTATACGTCGTGTGGACGGGTGTTAGAGAAACGTAGAATTGGAGTACAAACAACACAGGCCTCTTGATAGATTCTTGAGTTACTTTTTGGATTATTTATTTTTAATACGTCTGATCACAATATAATTTTATTTAAAAATTTTTATAAATAAGATAATAAATATCATTTATTTTCCTTATCGATTGATCGATTTACATTTCGGAACATTTACATTTTATTATCTTAATTATAAGAAATTTTAAATAAAATTATATTGTGATCAGACGGATTAAAAATAAATAATTGATATAATATTCACAATATGACGCAATTACACTATCTTACTTTTTGGAGCCTTTCAACCATAAGGGACCAAGGGAAACTACAAAGACCTCTGTCAGGGTAGCTGGTACCTGGGACCGGTATTCGAAGCCGCGATGCTTCAGTATGAGCTGTAGTAATAGCAAATTTTATGGATCAGCGGCTCTCAGCGAAGGAGATTACGTCGAAATAATTCTGCGTTCCTGTTTCATTTATTGGCCTGTAGAATCGTCGGTTATGAAACGACACTGTTTCAACTGTGAATGGTACTCAGAAGACCTAGGCATAGATGGAAGGATAATACTAAAATGGATTTTAAAGAAATGGTGAGGGTGGGGTTTGTAGACCTACAATTGAGTCATCTGACTCAGAATAAAGGCCAGTAGTGTTCTCATATGGACATAGTAATTAAATACCGAGTTCTATACAAGGTAAAGAATTTCCTGATTACTTGATCGACTGTTAACTTCTCTAGAATTTTTCCTCTAGGAGTTATATGGCATGTACGGTCGAATGAGAAGCAAGATAATTATTGCAGAATTTGCAGGGATTTTAAAGCAGGTTTTCTAAACATGTTCACTGATTTAAGTGAGAGTTTTGAATATAACATTTAATACGTATAATTGCTTATTGATTGTGCCTGTGATGCTGGGTCACGTTCGGTTGGATGTGGTGAATCGTAAAGAACCCCTAAAAATGTACGGTGATCTTGAGAAATCGTTAATTACAACTGATGGATATATTTCAGATGGAGCAAACAGTAAAATAAGTCCTACTGAATGCAGCCGGTATACGTTAGCACTCTTGCTTCGTGTGTGGTTTCTCTCAGTCTCTCTAGACATATTATAACCTTAAAATAGGCCACGTCTTCTTTATTTTACTTAGTTTAAATTCGTAATGGGTTAATCATGCAATTCGAGGCTACATGTCTACCGTAATTGATTAACAGTCGTTAAATTTATATCAGTGTTAGAAGCAAGTATTGTATTTGTGCTATGACGTATTCTACATCCTTGGCTTAGGCCTATGAAGGATATATGGAATGTTAATAAATTTGTTCTATTCCAAATGTTGTCGGTGATTAATAAATATATTGAAGTTTTTAAAATTTAAGCAATCCCTGAAAATGTCTTGTTAATATTTTACATACAGTTCTCGCTTTCTTAACATTACCTTTGCTTCGCACATCATCATATCTCCGCCATCTACTGTCAGAATTACTAACTTCGAAGGAAAACAGTGTAGTGATATGACAATGTATGCTATCGTGTACCATCCTACCTCCCTTTCAGTTGTGATTTATAATAGTATGGTTTGCCTATGGTATTTACGTATGTTTTGCTCAACAAAACTATAGATTCGAATATAATATTAAAGTGGTTGTTAAATAAGACGGGTTTGTCTGGATTCATTTAGCATAAGCCAGGGAACAATGGTGGACACTAGGGAACACAATAACAAGTTTCCGGATTCCAATAAAAGCGAGAGATTTCTCGGCTAGCTGGGAGACTGTCAGCGTCTCGAGAAAGTCTGTGCTGCATGGAGTAACCGTAGATATCTACCAAGTTGCTGGGAGTTACTGTTTTACACTTCTCAAGACATTTGTCTATAAGCACTGCAGAATAAAATGGCGGACGTGTGATTGTATTAGTATAAACGGAAGTAATATTTGAACTGAAAGCCGATTTGCTGTATAAGTCTAATATTATACTCATAGCAGAAACCGAAACACGTTTTCAAGAGCCTAATCCAGGATTTCAATTGTTTGTCACACGACCTCAAAACGAAGTGTGGGTTACCCAAACAGTCAGAAAGAGAAATGGAATGGAACAAAATACGTATTTTTACTTGCCTGTTACTTAAAACACTAGGCATTTCTTAAAATATGCTCACAGTAATTTTATCTTTTGAACCTATTTAATCAATTAACAGTGCCAAGCCTCTAAATGTGTGGGGGTCATTAAGTTTTCCTGTAACGACTGCACTCGGAGACCACCACGATGTACGAAATGCGTCTCTGTTTCTGTGTTAAGGCTTGCCCTGTGCCCTTTGCTAACAGCACGCCTCGTCTCCTTCTAGAAGGGACTGCCACAGTCCTGTTGCCGGATGAGTGAGGATATGGGTTGCGGGTCGTCTAAGCGGACGGCTGTGGTGCCTATAGGGGACTCTGTCGGCGAGGTGGAGGCATCGGGCGGCCTCACGCAGTGCAACTCCGAAGTTCCTGCCATGGAGAGACGAGATCCTCAAAAGGAACAACCAAAGGAAGAAGGCGTACGCTGGTCGTTAAACAGCGGGAAACGGGAGCCCATCGGTTTGTACTGGGTCACTTGGAATCTGTTTCAATACGCCATTCTAATGAAGTTCCAGCAGACAATCGAAATGTGCCCAAGTAACTAACTGGCTCACTTCCCTGTTCATTTAACTAATAAACTGACTGAGCAGTCATCCAACTACTTAAGGAACTAAGAAGCTGGCTTATTGATAGTTGATATGAATAAGAGTAGGGCAGTTCTGTCTACACAGTATGGGATCTTCCTAGAGAATTTCCTGCTTTGATGGAACCTGAAGCGTTATTACCATGCTCAGAGTAGTTTTCAATTGGACTCTGTCTTGAACTAATTAAATCTATTTCACATCCTCACAAAATTAATATTTGGCCATTTCCCTCCTTTCTTTGCCCTGGTGTATCAAGGTTCTCTTTCCTTGAAGTTTTATGATCACAATTGTTTTTGTTTTTCGTATGTGATATGCGACCCACACATCTTATCTTCCTTGATTTAATCTTGCTAAAAATAGTGAATGGTGAATGCAAATTCCCAAGCTTTTTAGTGCGTAACATTCTATATTATTCTGTCACTTTGTCTAATTTAGGTCTGATTATTCCCATGTCTCATTTTTCTGGAATGCGCCCCACGTGTTTTTCTCGTAGTGTGAGACCAACACGTGACAAGACAGCGCCTTAAAGTGGACTGCAAGCATTTCTCACATTTTTTCGTACTCGCCAGTTGCCAGTTCCTAACTGAGCGCTATATAAATTGTGTTATGGACGCACCACCAGAATATAAGGATATATAAACGTGACTGATATTGTTATATCCATATCTGTACAGCTCAGCCAATGGCTTTTGAAGTGTCTGTAACCGAGGAAAGTATAATACGGAAACATCCACCTCGTCGCTTGCAGCGACTGGAGGATCAGCAAATGGCGCTGTCACATGAGCTCTTGGACGAGAAGCAGGAAGAGGCCAAACAGCGGAGGTTCCAGGTATGGTGATGATTGCCGTGGGGAAATCTTGTTTGATTAAATTATCCCCTATAATTTTGTTTATAAAACAGGATAGTTCAGCTGATAAAGGTACAAGTGAAAATTAAAAGCTGAACGGCAGGTTTTCCTTTGTGATATGGTCAGGGAGATTTCCTTGTGCGTCCACATTCATACTGACTCTAACGGTGTCAACGGTTTTCTCTCCAGAGGTAAAGTTGACAGTGAAGTTTGTCTTCTAACTTGGAAATTCACCTTCATATTCCATAAATACCTTCAGGCCCTCCCTAGCGAGATTGGTCGAGGGGGAGAGGTCAGACTAAGACAGGTACCCTGGTCCTCCAGGTTGCAAGTTGGTCGCAAGGCTAACAACCTTGCACCGTAAAAAGGAAGATTTTTCGAAACCTCAGTCAAAGCCTCGGACAGAGGACCGAATGGAAGAGGAGAATTGAGGAGGCCATGGACCGAATACGGACCGGAGAGCCATAGAAGAAGAAGAAGAAGAAGAAGAAGTGATGGCATTTAATACCTTTACATTCTTCTCATTTTAACCATACATAATACTGTAAATAGGTGATTAATCCTTTCTGTGAATATTGTGTTTATAACTTTATTTTAGTTATGTATGTTGTAAGCTTTTGTACAAATCATCCTGTAAGTTTAAAATTTAAAATTTAAATTAGCCATTAATTTTCTGATGTCAAAGCGTAGTTTTACGTGGTTTCTGCCACAACAAGCAGTTGTAGCAATTGAGGAAATTAGGATGATTTTGCCTCTGTGAGATTTTATGCTTACCAGCATATTGGTTGGACCTGCCGATCTCGTTTCCAGGGTAGAAGTGGGAAAAATGTTCTCATCTGTTCCACATCAACATCTTGACATTGTCTTATGTGAAATTTTCTTACTTTAACAGACTGTGTCCTTGTTTCTAAAATGTGATATCTGATACTCAGTTTAGTTAAATTCATTAATGTCTTTTATGCCATGTTCTAGATCTTATCACAGCGAGTACAGTCAGCGAAGAGGGTACGGAAACGCTTTTTAGATGATGAAAATAATCAGGTTAGTGGAATAGCTTAATATGTCATTTACAAGCTTAAGAATATGGTTGAAAAAGTGAAAAATTAATGTAGGAGGACATTTAAGTAAAAAGTCATTAAAGAAATGGTAAATGAAACTGAGAAAATAAGTAGAATAAGATTTGCTGGGATTTCACAGAGGTGAGTATGAAGATTTCTGTCTTCTGGGTTGTTGCGCTGTGGAGTCTGGTCGATGTTAACCAACGTTTCAGAGGTCATACTGCCTCC